TTCTCCTCGTCCTTTAGATCGTCGTGAAACCTCTGGATCGCGATCGTCGTTACTTCGCCGGAGTGTCTCGAGTGTCGCGCGAGCGAATGACTCTCTCGTACGATTAATATTCATTAAGATCTATCTTAATAAGGAGACTTGATATCTGATCCTCTGCTCGCTTCGCGAGAACACGCCGGAAAGTTACGAGACGCCTGAAATTAATGGAAGTTGCTCTTCACGAACAGGCGCATATCGGTTTATATCGCCCGATGTGCTTGCTTCTCTCTCGCAACACAGTGAGAATCCACCATATAAACGCTGCTCGCGCAGCATCACCGTGCGGATAAATATAACCGACGAGAGGCGAACTTTCGGGCCAAGGTCGCGATGCGGTTCCGACTCATCCGGAGATAAGTATTATACATCGTGGAAAAATTCACGCCGTTTTATATATATAGTATATTACAATAATTGTAACAATCCGTCCAAGTAATATCTTTTTCAGAAATGTGCCACTTACGGCTATATGACTTTCTTATGTAAATGTGTTGTAACGCGCACCGATCGATTGGCGCAATCGATAATCGCAATCGTTGCTGTTTTTTTCTACGGTGACACATTATACAGCGCAAAATTGCGTTTCTTTGTGCGTCTGTCTCGACGACTTTGTATAGGGTCACGCGAGGCCAGGCGTCACGCACATCCTGCAAAACGGCGGATGTAAATATTTTTTTTACAGGCGACTCTCTCCGAGAGGAGACGACGACGGACCCCGGCTAATTGGACGTTCCGAGACGCGGAGCTATACGAAGTATACCGACTAATTTATTGGAAGCTGGAAAATTGGCTCTGTCAACCGCGGCGAAAAGATATCTATCGTAAGTGTAGTGTCTCCCGCGGGGAAAAGATCGACAAAAAGAAAAATCGAAAGAAAGAGAGAGAGAGAGAGAGAGAAAGAGAGAACACGATTACACTCTTGCGAAAGAAGGTAAAAAGGTTTTCCTTGGAAAAGGACTTCTCTCGCATTATTACCTATTTACTGTAGCGGATACACGCCATATACCGCATATTTTTCTAGCCCGACCGCGTTTAATTAGGTCGACTCTAATGAAACGGACGAATGGGTCTTCTCACGTGTGTTGTAGCTCTGCATCAGTGTCGCAACCGTGAACATTGAAATCGATAAACTTGCAATGTTACAGTGAGCTATAAATAAATTCGATGTACCTCCGTCATCCTCCATCAATCAATCATCCCTCTCGCACTCACGAAAAGGTTCTCTTTCGGCTCTATTGCCGAAATTAAAATGTTAATTTTCGCTCGTGATCCTGCGCAACCAAATCCGCGCGATGTATGTACATAATTACACGAATTCATGGTATAATTACGAGACGGCGAGATGGACTTAAATATTTTATCGCAAAAATCTCGTTTCAATATATCGAATCACACAGCCTCGTATATATGTATATACCTATGCCGTGTTCGGCGAAATCTCTCACTCTTTCGTTCCGTTCATTTTCGCGAGATATGCAAATCGACCGGTGCACGTCACGTTTGAATATCAGCACGGTGAAAACAGAAGCCTGAGCGAGCTCTCATGTTCATCCCTTCGAACAACCGAGGATGGACGATCCGGCTTAAGTCTTCGACCTGATGCGTGTATAAGCACGTGTGGTACTCGTTGCATTCGCGCGTCGATTCTTTTAAGCCTCGTTAAAACCCGACTCGAGCTTTAATTGAAAGTCTGACCCTGGTGCGGCGGGCCTTTTTCTCGGCAATCTCGCGATCGAACGAAACCTGATGCTCAAGTATACATACGTAGATACGATAAAGGTATTTCAGCTGGAGAAAATTAACATATGTAAAAAAGGTGCGCAGAAATATGTCAGAATTCACGAATACGAGATCTTAACCCTAATTATCTCGAAACAATAGCGTGTGATTTATTCCATTGCATAATATCGAGCAACAATTGTAATTCCGTCCGCTGCACACAGAGAATAACCATAAATCCGACCGGCTATTCTTATCTATGACAAAATTTATAGCTATTTCGTACATATTGTGGTCTGGGTGGGAAAAAATAAAATCGCAAATATATCGCCACGTGAGAGAAAAAGAGACGAGAGAGAGAGAGAGAGAGAGAGAGAGATTCGGAGCACGACGGAGACCGCCGTCCTAGTTACGTGGACCATATTATCGATCTGCTCACCCGGTACATGCCGAACCCTTCGCAGAACCCCCCGACGTATGATTCCGGGGAGTATGTATATCCCACATATGTGTATATATGCAACCAACCAGCGTGTCTCCCATACGTGCATATATATATATAATATGTACACACGCGAGAGATGCGCTCGCAGAGAGCGCATCTCTCCTTCTACTCGAGAATTCAATACCGAGCCGGCGAGTCGCATGATGGCGGAACCCGGTCGATTGTGTTTCGAGAGGGAAAAGTCTCGTGCTCTCCTACGAAGGGTAGCTCTTCGGCTTACGGATTCGCATGCGTATACGCATATCGTTAATGCACGTGCATCGGCTTTAACGAATCGTGGGAGCCATATGGCGACTGAATGCGCGTTTGTTTATTTAGCGACTTAAAAGATCGGACATTTATTTATTTTTAATTTTTAATTTTTTTCCGTCAATTCATTATTCATTCAAACACCAGCCTCTGGTGTAAGAGAGGTAAAAATTAATAATAATATAATAACGTAAAGATAGTTTATCGCGGGAAATACGTCACGATCGAGGCCGATGTGTCATTATCCAAAGTTGGAGAACGGCAATTACTCAAATGAGACACGCGTCGGCAAATTACGGAGCCGATCGCCTCTTCATTTACGGGACCATCTTCGTCACTTCGTAGTTCCGCAAACGCGTCTATTAACGTCGGGTCCTCGCGGCCGCGAGCGATGCTCTGACGGTGAAGTAGACAAGTGGCTCGCGATAGGCCTATTATGTCCCGCTTAAGTGCAGCTGCAAGCGCGCCAAGGTGTATATACACATACTTGAAACACGCGCCCACACACACAAACAAACAGATACGCGCATCGTCGATTCGACCTCGATGAACCCCGCGTGATCGATCCACTCCACGAAGGTACAATTAAAGCATCCCTTCTTCGTGAAAACGCAAACAATTCGAGATTACATTCTTCATATAAAAATCGTCTGGGACGTAATTAAATTTTTTTATATTAAAAAAAAACCCCTCTAAGAAATTAATTCAATGAATAAGGAATACAGCTGAAATTAATATAGTTCTCGTTATTTTAAGAGCCTAATACGAACCGCGAAACGCCTCGCCAACTTTGTATGCATATTTTTTTTCCGAGTCGCCGAGTCTCGAGAAAACGCGCGTGTGGGCGCAGGTCAGCGCAAAGCCCCGTTAAAAATTAACATGCTAATCCGCCGCTCTGCGGGTGCAGGGGAGAGGGACCTGGTTAACGTGCGGCTGATTGCACCTGCGAGCTCGTTAATTACCTCTCCGCAAAATTACCGCTAGGAAAATAAAGCGGCGAGCCGCGCGCTTCTTATGTATATACTACACGTCCCAGCCCATAGAGACACGGCCGGTACGCATACATGTCGTAGGTATACGTAGGTACGCTCTTTGTCACGAAACACGCTCTCGTATCGCGAATTATACCACCGCGGATACGGTGGTTTCGCGCGAAGCGAACGGAACAGCCAGCCAGAGCGTGTCGCATTGTCCGCTGACTCGGTGATACACATTCGTCATCGCGCGAGGAGAACCCGTTGCGCGAGGGAAAAATTCACGGAGGAAACGCGCGCGAGTAATATACACAATGGGATACACGTTCGAACGGATATACAAAGAAATGTCCGCGCGATACGACACGAACGAACGATACGGGCTGAACTTAATTACGCACCAGCAGTGCGGGAAATGCCATTAATATTCAACTCGCGGAAATATATATCTATATATAGGTTGTTTAAGTATTAATGTTGACACTTTGCGCGTACAGATTGTTCGGCGATTCGAAATCCCAAATTTTACAGTTCCGCTCTCGCGGAAATAAATGAACAAATTTAATTTTTAATCTCTCGAAAAATGTGTCCGTATATGTGTTGCAGTATTATTATTAATGAAATTGAATTTCGTATTTTCGCTCATTAAAATATTCAAAGCATCGGCAAATAACGTCGCGATAATAAATATTAATATTATTACTTTTATAATTATATTGTATATTACGGATTAATTAAAAAATTGAAAATTAGAACATTATAAAAATAGAGCATTCAAAGTATTTCGAACGAATAAATAAATTCGACCTTTTCATTGCACGAATGGCTATAGCTTTTATTTATCGCGCACTTCGCAAGGCTTCTGTATTATTTATATCATGTGTGTAAAGAAAAATATGGAACATAATATCTTTTTAAATCGCGCTCGTTCTTTGTAGCGAGAGTGCGATTAAACGAAATGCATTATACAAGTGCTCGCGGTAAGTTAAGTTTCTCAAGAGGCAACTGAAATACGAGAGTTACCACGGCGCTTCTATCTTTTATTGAATCCTTTAAGAGTTTTCGAACGAGTTCCGAATTTTGTGCAGAACGTCTTTTGTAACATTCGGTTCTCTAGCGCGAAATTGACACGAGAAGAATGGAATTCGTTATTAAAGGCGTTATTCGAATATTAGATTTCCTTCCCTCGCGCCGCATCGTTCCATTATTTTTTTTTTGTCCTATATAAGATGATTCGATCGAAGAGAGAAAAAAAATCTTCCAAAAAATCAACGAGCAAATTTGACATCGCCAACATGATTTTCACGTTGCAACCTTCAAGGTGCAGTCAATAAACTCGAAGAATTTCCTGACGTGCTCGCAATGACAACGATGACGACGACGACGATGACGTCGTCGTCGTCGTCGTCGTTGCCTCTTCGTCCGTAACTCGCCGGCTTACCACATGAGCTCTGTGATGCTGATGGTGCATAGTATGATGATGATGGTGCCTCTTCTCCTTCGCGTGGTGCTTGGCGTGGTGCTTGCTGCCGCGATGCGGCGGATAAGTGTGATAAATCATGTTGACGCCGTAGCAGGGCGGCTGGCGTCACCTGACCTCGACGATGCCACACTTGGAGACACCCATCTGCTGGCCGCCGCCCTGATGATGGTGACTCGCCGTCAAGCCGCCCGGCGTCTTCCGCGACACCGACGACGTCGTCGTCGTCGTCGTCGTCGTCTCGGCCGGCGACTTCTCGGCATCGTCCCTTCGCGTCGATTCTTCCAGGGCCATATCGCCCTCGTCGTCGTCGTCGTCGATGTTCACGGTGAAGGCAACGCGATGATGCGGCACCAGCTTCATGGTGGTGCCGATGGGCGTCACCGTGGTGGCCGGGTCGAGCTTCACCAAGGCAGCCTGCAGCTCCAGGGCGTCCATCTTCGCGAGAGCACCCGGACACGCTGTCCTCTCCCGGAGTCGAGTTTAGACGATGTTATCTTCCGCTCGTTCGATCGTCTATTATGATAGTCTCGATTACGAGTCCACTATGGTGACATTTCCTCGGCTTCTCCGGTTTTCGCAGAGCAAACCGAAAGCTCCATCGGGAGGAATAACTTGATCCAATGGTTTATCTCTATTTCGCCATCGAGATCTCGCGTCTCTACTTCGGGAGAGTCAGAGTTCTTGCTTCTGAGTTTGACGCGAGGATTCGTCGTAAATGATTTCGATCTGTCGAGATTTATCAGCGTCGTATTGAATCATCACACTTGAATGTTCGTCGCTCTGGTGAAGAGGATCGTCGATAGTATCTCGATGTGCACTCACTCGGAGATGTTTTGAACGGTTTTATGGAAATTTCCAGAAGTAGTTTTCTCACGAATTATCTGTACATTTTCTTTTTTATTACAATTTCATACCCCACCCTGACTTAATAGCGACGGAAAATTATTCACAGAATTTATGCAGAGTGTCTCAAAATCTGGATATTCAAAGACAACCTGCTATAAGATTCATGAATGGAATACCTATGTCGAAACGCTCAAAACTCTAGAAAAAAAAACATTATATTGAGAAACAAAGTCAATCGGTCTCGAGGACATTTCGCAAGGATAACTCACGATCAGTCGATCACGCACGTCTTTACGTGCAACTAATTTTCGCACAATCATCGACCTCTGATTACATCTAGAATTTTTTTTGCTACGAGAGCGTTGCAGAGGAAACGACGGTCTGTGGGAGAAATGGAAACGACGTTACGATCATACATTGACGGGGAGCAGTTATCCTGCCTCCGTCACGGTCATTATTCGCGAACTACGTCGGAGAGGTCGCGTGACCATCTTCGTTACGTGCTGATAAACGTCGGGTTCATTCCGTTGCGTCTACCGCGAACTACTATTTATTTTATTGTGCCATCCGTCGCCGATCGCCACGAAGGATGGCCGCGAATGCAAATTGGCGGCTGGTACGCCATCAGGCATTTTAAAGTACGTCAGAGAGAGACACATAAGTTTATATTTATAAGCAGATTTAGAAAAGACGGCAACTAAGTCTTGCATATATATATGTGTGTGTAATAAAAATAAAAAATATGACCTGAAAGTAAAACGCGAATTTAAGACTCCTCGGTACTCCGATTTGGTCAACCTTCGAAAGAGTGACGTCAGCGTCGTCGCTGAAATGGGAAAATATGTACGTTTCGTTTATCGTCATCTCCATACGATGCTCGTTTTTATATGTCTCTGGATGTAGATACGTTTCTTAACCGGATTACCAAGATATCAAAGTGTTTTTACGAGAGTTCCAATTGCATTAAAAGTACATTAATGACGCGCGCACAAAGAGGATCGATTACACTCCTTTTTTTTTCATGTCATTGAAATTATTAATTAAAATTCCCTGGCAACGCCCGATACATTAGTTCCCACGTTTTCGCAAGCCTGGAGGCTTTCTTCGCGCGCGTGGGACGCGCGGCCGATCGATGAAAAAAAAAAAAAGTCGAAGGGCGGGATAAAGGCGAACGGCATCGGGCTTTGTTTGAATCTGCACGATCGCGTACGGGGACGGATTTCCTGTTATGAGGCAGCGGCCTCTCATCGCGCAGCATGATTCATATTCCCGACGTCTGGCGCGGTGCGCAGACTAGGAGGCAGGAAAATTTGCATACAACATCTAGAAGGTAGACGTTCGTGTATCCGTGCGCCCCGTTGCTCCTTTTGGAAAAGAACCGTCTGAAACCCGAGACCCCTCTAAGAACTCGCGCGTATCAGTGGGTGGACGCGAAGACTATCTATATGCACGTCGGGAGAGGACCACACGAGGTGCGCAATGTCGAAGCTGCAGCGAGATGCGAAACGGTAAGAGGTCAAATGGCTGTTTTATTGAAAATTTGGATGAGAAAAAATATCGTTTGAAACAAATCTGTATACACCATTTTTTTTATCCCGCCTCCTAATTTGACGACGGATTCTACAGACTGGAAAGTCGACGATAAAAAAAAGATAAACGAGATTCTTAGAAAAATGAGATCCCTTTTCGACATGGCAGTTTCTTCGTGGTGGAGCTGGTTTTCTGTGACCAGGTAACCGAACGGGACAGAAGGGATGAACGGCCGGTTAAAGACCCGAGAGACGAAAGAAAAAGAGAGAGAGAGAGAAAGAGATCCGTCTGATCACATTTTCGCGCATTAAAGCGTTCCGTAAAACCGCTTAAAAATTCAGGCGGGTCCAAATCTGCGAAGAGAATTACGAATGCGCGCGCGTAAAATCCGTCGCGGCGAATTGTCGTCCCGGGAGAAGAGGGAGGGAGGAAAAAACCGTTTCTTTCTTCAACGCCCAAGTTTTATAGAGAGCTTTATCTTACTTTATGTTCGCGCGCGCAGCCGAAAGCTGCGGGCGCAGGTATTCGCGGGAGGAATTTCAAGGGCACGCGCGGGTTCGCCGTCGAGTCAGTCTGGGTCTCTCTCCTCTCGAAAGGACGGTCAGTGCACCGTCGAGATCCTTTGTGCAAATCGGCGGCGGCCAGCGGTGCGCATCTAAATCACGTTGGCGTGGCATTAAAAGCTATTAGGAACCACCCACGAGACTCGCCGGTCCTTCATCGAGAAAGATCGCGCGACGCGGTCACCTGTCGTCGTTGTTTCAACAACGATGTTTTACGGTGTGCGCTTGCCGTATATACGATTTCCCTGAGTAACAACGTATTATTGCGGCACTTAGCGACACTCGGATATAGAGATAGACGCGGACGAGAAACGTTCGGTATATCGGTTCGTAAAGTCATGCGGCAATTCGCAAGGATCCCAGTGGTGAACAAAGCATCCGAGAGTCGTATGTTGTAGACCCCCTCGGCCCGACAAGCTTACTTAAAGCTGGCACTTAATACCACTTTACAGCTAGGATCTCGGTGAGACGACGGTTTTATTGCCACTCTAATAAAGTAATGGGTCTAGGTGAAGTCGGCCGCGGCGATATGAAGTTGTCCAATCTCACCGGCGCGGCAAGAAAACTGATTTCTTTCCGAGCATAAAAAGGGTATATAATCGCGCGAAACTACGGATTGATAGAGCGAACTTGATTGCGAAGGAGAGAGAGAGATGCGTTTCGCAGAATGCATCCTGGAACAACGGACGGACAATGGTACTTGGAGTGTTTAAAACGTCACGATCTTATATCGTTGTGAGAGACGAAAGAAGAATCAACACAATAAGAAGAGAGAAAAGAAGAGATGTTAAAGAGAAAAGAGAAGACGGTAAAGAAACAAGCACGGTAGTCTCATTCGCAGTCATAATGACAACGTTTCTATCCACCGTAACTACTCGGCGTCAAGCTGCAGATAATTAAAGGGCGTGGAGAGGCCGTAAGCAGGTATATACGCGCAAAAATACCGGAAGTAACTCCCCAGTCCGAGCATCGGCTAGATCGTAGCCGAGTCTTATGCGCTTAATAAGTGGGAAACTGTTTGCCGATACCGCCTGGATTCGATCTCACGCCGCCATTAATCTCCGGGGAATGCGAAGACTCATGCTTGCGAGAATGCGATCCTCCCAGTTGAACGTAATCGAAAAAAAAAAAAAAATTAATAAAACGCTCGTTCTCCCCGACCGTGTATATCCGGGTTAAAAATTCCCGAGTGATATTAAAAGTTTAATTATCGTTTTGCATTTTGTTTCGTACAACAATCCGTAGAACAAAAATTGCAAATTGCAATCAAATCCGCGCTTGATTCACCGCATATTTTTCGAAATTTTCGTGTTCAAAATATTTCATTTGCGCAGTGGAAAAAGAGAAGGTATACGCAAGACGCAGAATTACAGGCGAAAACAACCTTGAAAGCGCGAGATTACATTTGTAGATTTAATTAACACGGTTTCCACTTATTTTTTTTTCAAACCGTATTAGGTTGGACTATCATCCCTCGGAGGGAACGGCCGTTATACCCCTCGTTTCCTACGCACAGAACCGTCTCGTAATTTCTCATTAATCAATTAAGCGCAGCAGTATAATGAAGTTTATTCATCAATAAAGTGCCAAGTTATTTAAGTTGGTATGCAGCCCCTGCCATATCTCGGAACTCGTGTACCGCTAACTCGCGCTTGCTCAAGCAATTATGTACAATGATGATCCAAGTTATGCGATACCTCCTCGCTACCGTAGCCTTATAATACAGTTTTCGTGCAGCGCACTAAATTGCAGCCGCTCCCACATTTGTTCAAACAATAAAATATTAAAAGAACATATTGAAAACTAAAAATAAAATATTAAAGGAACGCAAAAATTATAATTGAAATTCCTAGACTTTTAGATAATCTTTTATAAACTAGATTTTATTATCAAAATTAAAACCCGTTGCATACTTAAGAAGTTGATTACAAGTTTCGAATTAACTCGTCGAATCGAGGCAACCGATATTTTCTTTGCAATTCACTATGACTTCGCAAAATTATAATATCGAGTGAGACACGATTTCGTTCTTCATCGAAAGAGCAACCCCCTTAAAAAGCCGCGCGCGATCGAAGTTGCGTGATAGGAGAACCAAAGAGGCCCCTCAGCCACCGGCTGTGATCCTCGAACTTAAGCGAAGCGTAGCTCGATTACACGATTAATGTCGGCAATGCACGAAACGTCGATATTAATAAAGGGGACGAAGAGAGAGAAAGAGCAGCGGCAGAGTACATTTTCTATTAGCCTCGCGGTGTATTCACGGTTAAACATGAACGCAATTCGATCAAGAGGGAAAAGAGAGGGAAAGAAGGAGGTTCACCGCCCGTTATATCACCCGGTTAACGATGGGTGGAGATCGAGGCACTTTCCTCATTTTTTTCTCCTCCTTTCTTTCTGCCTCGCGCCCTTCTCCGGCAGCAACTTGTTTTTAAGTGGGGTTACGTGATGGGGGTCGCTTGTTATTGCCACATAATATCGGCACCGTCACGTAAGTGCTAAGTGCAAAAGCTGTTGCTCAGCAACAGTTGCTGTCGCTATTGCTGTCGCTGTTGCTGCTGTCGCGGCGAGATTAGCCGTGGTAGGCGATAATCAGGGTAATAACGAACTCCGCGGAACCGACCCGTTTCTTCTCTTATCCGCCGACTATCTATGAACTCTCTCGCGATTTCGTGCTTTTTTTCCCCTGGAGCGAGCCTCGGGCGCTCCGTTTTACGGCGAGAGTATCTTAGCCATCGGCAACCTGCTTCGGCGCGTCCATCAATCCTTTCGACCGAAGTCTATTTTTCACCGAAGAATCTGGCCTATTTTCTCGGAGATCTCTGCAAGATTTTCTATTCTCCTCGACCTCGAAACGCGCGCCAAAGGAAGATCAGTTCCGATTTATAAAAATAATTATCGCGAAATAAATACAATGAAACATCACATTTATTAAACATTAATTACAATTTCGAAAGAAAATCAATGAAAATTCCACGCATCTAAAAATCTTACTACATAGTAGTATATAAAAGAAGCAATAAAATTATCTATCCGATTCTTGAAAAGAAGTGAACGATTGAAGAAAATGTCCGCAAGCGTTGCTTCGGAGATAAGCCTGGGCACAATTGATAACAAGTGGCACCGTATATAGAATCAAATAAATGGGCAATTTCGCCCAGAGCGGAAGAAATCGCAGGCGTTATACAAAGGAAGAAACACATAGATATATCAGATAGAATCGAAAGAGCAATTGAAAAAATCATAAACTCTGTATTTGCGGAATTCAATTCAATCCTCGATTTACGATAATAAATGATCGAGAAGATAGTAGCTGTATAATATATATATATATAGACCTATCAATTTATGATATTGATTCAATGATAATATAACAAAATGGTATCGGATTAAGTTAAAGCTAACAAGATATCGGATAGAGAAATACAATACGTAACACGTTTTCTCATAATGAAGCAAAGCACCATATTTCTGTAATAAGATTTGTAATAAAAAATATGTACTTCGCCGTGTCCCAGAAAGACTTATTGCACGTGTCACTCTTCTAAGGTTTCGGAGAGCGGGAGTTGGCAAATTGTAAACATACCGCAGTTTATATCGAGAGACGAGCGTTTCGTAACCATCGGCAAACGTTTATTCGCGATAACTGCCGCATCGGGATTGAACGAGATGATTTATCGATTCCGAAGCGAAGCGCTGGTGCGAGTCGAAATGAGATACGAAATGACTTTACGGACCCTCGAAAGTATCTTTCGTTCTTTTATCAAGTTTTTTTTTTTCTCGTAATTGTTGGCGAAATAAACTGCCGGAAAATTTGCTTTTATTTTCGTGGTTGCATCCATTCTCTTTTTTTCATTAATTAATATAGGAGGGAAGTATGTACATATACACGCTATAGGTACACACACTTGGAAGTTACAAAGACAACACACTCGCAAAGCAGAATATGAAGAAGAAGAACGGAAGAATGTCACGAAACGGCGGAGACAAACTGCGTCCATTTGCGGCACGTGAAGGGATTATGGTGGATCCTGTATAAAAGCCCGGCGAATTGCGCATGCTGGAAATTTCCGGAATGCATTTTTCACGAGAACCGGGATACGCGGTGCGAGAGACTTTTCACATGTGATAGGATTACATATTCTAGCTTTTGTCCTAAACCAATTAAAATACCAATACGAGGGAGAAAATTAAAAAATAATGTAACAAATGCATATATATATATATATATATAGAGATTGTCAGATGGCTCGAGGCGAAATGTCTAATCCCAGATGCAATGCTCAAACGTCGTTTCGCCGGAAAGTACAAACAGTATAAGCAAGGAGAAGGCCATCGCGTGCACTTTATAGTGCACACGTGTCAAGGAAGAATAGAGATAGAGTTCGGTCTACGCGACTGTTGTAAAATTTTACTTCGTGCTGTACGTAGAAATGTATTATACGTAGAATGTACTTCGATACTGGTTGGTCGGCCTGATTTACATCGCGTAACCTGTGAAACTTGAACGGGAAATGGAACCGAGTAAGAAATCGATGTTGCACGTAATACGTATTTCTCGCGAAAGTATTTTTTTTTATTTTTATTTTATTTATTTTTTTTTTCAATTTCTAAGCTGTCAACATCTCAACATAGGTATACATAGAGAATGCCTATTTATCGACAACGAAGCGTTATTTTTCCAAACAAAATATTTCGCACGAGACTCAAATCGGAAATTGCAATAGAAAAATATTCGAAGCACGAAAATGTTTTTTTAATTTCGCGACGATGCGACGCGAACGTCCACGTGTTTCACCGACTGCAATTCTTTCGTGTATACACACACACATATATTTATATATATTATATATACCGATTCTTTCTATGTATATTTCTTTCGTTTTTTTTCACACAAAACTATATACGCTCACATCAATTGAGCGCAAAATTCTATTTCTTCGAACTTCTGAGGGTTTCGCCTGTTGCACTCAATTCGCGAGTCACGAGGGATCGATCGCCGGTCGATCGATCGGAATTAGTGCCGGACGATAAATCAATCAACAGCTGGAATTTGCTTAAGCATGATCAATTAACACGCCCGGTTAATGATTTATCACGACAATATGTCCAATATGCATGTAGTTGTACGATCGGTATATGTTCAGCGATTACTCTTTGATCTCCCTTTCTCTCTCTTTTGACTCATTAACTTTTATATAGTCCGACCAATTTTAGATTTTAGATTTTCAAAATCCGTCAATCACGTATAAAAATACAATAATAAATTTAATTGAAAATTACTTTCTCTTTTGACAAAATACAATTTATCTAATTTTACAATAAAAGAAAAATTTATAAAAATTGTATACGCGCGTCGAGAACTGTTGCGAAATTTAATTTCCGTGTTTTGTAATCTTCCCGCAAAGACGCTTATTAAATAAAACTCGAGTATATATGACTTTCCAAAAACGCTCCTTTTATAGACCATAAACGCTCAACTTTGTGCGGCACAAGCATTGTTTTAAATTTTAATCATATAGTACTTGTCTACTGATTTTCTCACGGACGTACTTAATAACTTATATTAAACGAATCTTAATTACCCGAATGAATCCAAAGCGCCTGTTTCAAAAATGACAATATGGGCATAGATGATTCACTTTACGCAAGGCAAGGGTTAATGCTTTAATTGTCTCTTCGACCTTCATCAGCCGCAAAGAAACGTTTCAAGTCCCTGTTACATATCCTTTCTCCCATATACAAAATTATGTATAATATATACATATATATACATACATACATACATATACATACATACATACATATATATATATATATATATAGAGAGAGAGAGAGAGAGAGAGAGAGAGAGAGAGAGAGAAAGCCGCTTTAAAATTTTCATCCGCTTTTGCTTGTTAGAAGCCGAGATCAGATATCAGAGATCGCAATTAAATATTAAAATGGAGAGCGGATACATTACTATTCTTTTCAGGTTTCAGATATTCTCGTGGGCGTTCGTAATGCTCGTAGATCTCTCTCCTAGACAATACGCGTGTAACGCCTGAGCAGATAAAACGATCTCGCATCTGCGAACGTATCGTAATGGGTCCGCTTGAGTCACGCTCGGGCATTCTTACGATATTTTCGCGCTCGCCACCTGGCTTCATATCGCGGGTCTCGCCCCGAACGTCGGGTATTTTACGCACCTCGGATGTGTTTACGAGCTGGTGCGAGCTTGAATCTACACGTGCGGAACGAGATTCTGGGTATCGCTGCGAGAGCAAGATGCTGACGACGACGATGACGACATGGACGTCGGTCGATCGATCGATCGTCGCGAGGGCGAAACCTCCAACACGTCTCTCCCATGTTCGAGTTTCAGCTATATGTTCCTACGGGAATGTTCCGATGTCTGTGTGGCCGACTCCGAAAAATACCGATAGGGAATAAGAAATCGTAGACTCGAAGATTTTCAAGAGTTATTCCTGCTCGCTGTTGGAATTCGAGGTTGAATTCCGTACAATGAAAATGTAGATTTATATTGCTGAACATCAAACAGAGAGAGTGCATTTTATAATCATATATTTTACTTAATATTTAATTATAAAAAAAAATAAAAAATGCCATTAATTAAATCAATGAGAAATTGTTCACGTTCATGTTTCTTAATATTTTATTATAAATGAATTTGTGTGTAAATTTGCCAATGTAATATAATGCAATTACTAATTTTATTGATTATAGCAAAGTTTAACCCGCAACACACGCGCATAGATATGAATTCGAGATAATTTTAATAAATTTGTTTGTAATTAAATATAAAAGTAAACAAATTAGATATACTGCGTATTGAATTGTCGTTTTAATTGTTAAAATAGAATTTATTGGCGTACTATAAATTGTCGCTGACACGTATGATGATAAAAATGCGGGATTTGCACGAACAATTTATCCGCAGCAGTAAATACAACGATTATAACGCAACGGTGACAGGCTTTATGCCGTTTGCGAAGTATATTTTGCAAAACGAAGAGCACCGTTTCGAGTATTATACCATATTATAGCTCATTAAATCCGACAGATGGTAATCCCCTGTTTATATCGCATTCGACTTACTTTCTGCTACGCGTCAACGCTCGTGCCAACTTTCCCATATAGCGTTCAAAACATGTCCTGCGACTCCTTCCTATCCTCTACTCTTCGAAACTCGACTTGCATCTACGCTCGAAATTGAATAAAAAAAAAAATTAATTTAACTAAAATATATGTTCGTCCAAAAATCCGTATTCGAATTCGTTTGCATTGATTTTTCTGACCGCCAAACGAGGCCATGTAGCTTCTCCCGAGCGTGTTGCCACATCGGTCATGGCTGCGACACGATCGCTATATAGACACGATCGTTGATATAATAGATCCACGCAAGTCTCTCGCACGCGATCGCACGTTCAGTTCGAGTTGACGCATGCATGAATACGTAAAAGATGTACACGGGACGAAATATTATTTTGGAATAGCGATCGCGATAAATTCGTGTTTATACGCTAAACAAGTATAGCAGCTGAAAAGAAAATCGCGGCTATACAATTTTCGAGGCTAATTGGGCGAATTATTTCAACGTGATTGCTCGATTACTGACAGATCAATTTAAAAGTCCTTTTAATGCCCGTTGCTGTCTCTCAATAACGGGTATAGTTTCAGAACTAATTTGCAGTTCTCTCACTCTCTCTTTTTCTCTATATAATTCAAGAGACTGCCGCTTGAATACAGACAACGACATACGCGTCTCTTGAACAATTTAATTAGTCAAACGCAATTTGTCAAATGAATACAGTTTCCTACATAGATTTCTATAAATATAAATAATTCACATAATTAATCTTTAATTTTTATGATAAACTGTATGATATATATAATAACTTTTCAAATTTTTTCAACCAAGATTTATATGTATATTATTTCTTCCTGTTTTTTTAAGAATAACTTTATCGATACACAACTCACGCTAGGAAGTCAAACTCGATCGAGTAGACTTTTTTCAGAGGTATACGTGAAACGAATTGGCAAACTTGATTTCACACGTTTTACGCAGTTTCTTCCTCAACTTCGTCCTCTCGTCATAAACTGGTAGTAAAACGGACGTATACAATCGCGAAAAAGAAAAATTGCAAAGTACAAGGAAGCCTCGTAAATACGTTTCGTGCTTATACACTTTCCTGCTGGCGATGACCTCTCGCGAGGTCGTGTCGGTTGATCCCGATCGTAAATCTAAACAGCAAAGTTAGGGTCAGTTCCGATCGATGAAATTTGCTCTCGGCAATCTCCTCTCCTCTTTTTCTCTCTACATCATAATCTTATAGATATATAGATATACAGAAGGGAAAAATGAAAATCTCATTAACCACGATGAACGACAACGCTGTTAACCGGCCCGTATACAAGTGCGGTGTCGAAACAAGACGATGTCGTCGACCGACACTCAAAGAGATTCGCGCGTGCACTATTTCGCCTTTTGACTTTTTTTCAGGATTTTTCACCTTCGGAACTTTTTCGAAACTTCTCCACTATATACACACATACACGCGCGCGCGCGCGCCCACACGAGAACACTTCTCTCGTCTTCTCGTCGGCAGTTTCGAACGAATGGGAGCGGCACACGTCGTCGTTGAGCGCGGAAAAACGGGCCGACTTCCTCGAATAAAAACGACACCGCGACACACAATGCGACGGCGACGGCGACGACGGCGCCGACACGTTTGCGAATCCCGATGAGAAGACACGACGACGACTCCCGCGCGCTCGCACACTCGCTGGACCACCCTCGGAGCGCCCGCGATTCTGCGACTCACCCTTCGTCTCTCGCTCGCTCACCCGGTCCGGCGTTATACGCCGACGAACCACCCTTACCGGATTTGCCCCCTCCTGCCGCGCCTCCCTACCTAGGAAACGAGGGAGTTCGCTGGGGTGGGATCAATATGAGGTTGGACAAACGCGGGAAATTTGCGCGCAGGTCCTTTCCACCCTCGACGCGCGATGGATACACACCCCTTCCCGACGTCTGTCCCTATACCGTCTATATATCCGTGCCCAACCCCGACGTTCTTTTCTTTTCTTTTCCTTTTTTGTTGTGTTCGTGACCCGACGAGAGAACCGCCAACGAGAAAAGTCGAGGCCTCGATCGGTCGCCCCGTTTTCCTTCCACGACCCTCACCTGATCGCACCTTCCTTCGTCTACTCGCGTTAGCCCTGACGCCCCTGACTCACATACGTTATTCTCATCCCCTATAATACAGGATGTGGCTAAAGAGCTGGGGCTAAGTGAATTTCTCTGCTGTCGGATAACCCTCGTAGGCAGCGATTTCTGTCTCGATATTGAAAGCCCATGGATGTTACACAATCGCTCGTAATCATTTATCCACTCACAGAATCTTACCGTCTCTCTCGTTCTAAATTAATTGATTTTAGAACCTTAGATTTGAATTTATCAAGATTTTTATTTTTTAAATAAAATAAGGATTGTTTCTTTCTTCGTTATCGCGTCTTTGAGAAACATGAAAAATATAGATGAGCAAAGTTACGACTTGTACATTTTATATATTATTTGGTATAATATAATATGTACATATACTTTAATTAAATTACATGTATCTTTTCCTTAATTTAAAGATAAATTTTTACAACCGTACATTTCCGTATTTTTATCTAGCTTCTTTTCTTACTCCTGGTTCTAATTATAACTATATGGTCTCTTCTCTGACATTTTTATTTTCTCATTTAAATACTTTATATTACTTTCTTATTTTGTTACATTTTCATATATGTTTTCAAGGAAAGATATATCCTCTCACCATCAACTATACTAAATTCCTACCACCGCGTTAAACTTTTGATATAATTCTATCACTTTTTTCTTTTCGAGATTTAAACGCGGAAAATTGATATTATTCGCAACGCGCTCTCGAGAAGTTGCCGAAATTCAAGGATAATTATTAACGTCGTCGTGTTTGGCAAAAGTTCTCGAAATGCCTCGCGTAACAAAGTTCCTTCTTTACGAGCGAGTCGAGAGTCATGCGAAACAACTACGCTCGCAATTCGAGAGCCGTTTTCCGAACCGGCAAAAAAAATTTTAATGAACTATAAAGCGTCGCATGAGCATACCTTATCATACGGCCGATGTAAGAGAGAAGTTATAGACCGTAAACTCGCGACGCGTTACGCAGCTCGTAGCGCGTCGCGGAGTCGTTCCGCTTTTAATCGGCACCGTCATCCGTTCCTAGAAACGTGCGGCTCTTATTCCATCTTCCACGCGGGAGAAGAACAGGTTTCCGCGATGAGCGAACTTTTTCGCGAAATCCCGTGGGAACGTCTTGGCGAATGCCCTCTCGATTAGCGCCGCACCATATCGGGAAAATATACTATAACTCCCGATGTGACCAAATGGATTTTCCAATTCGCGCTTCCACTTTTAACGACACGACACGTAAAAAGGATAAAATCACAGTCTATAATATAAAAAATATAATAATGAATATTATAATAAATTTATTATTAATAGATTATTATAATAAAAAAATAATAAATGAATATTAATAATAAAATGTCATCCAAGATATTTTAATATTTTTATCGTGCAGGAAAAATGGTCGATTTATTTACGCGGTTCGGCGAATCGTCATGCTTCTTGTCGAGCAAATTTCAACGATGAGTGAATTTTTCCGCGAATTTTCGTGAATAGATCCTAAAGAAGCGCGTCTGGGTCGACTTCATTGATATTCAACTTTTCAGCAGCGTTATATACACAGGGAGATCGATACGCGCGATACATACACCCACGTTACAGCCTCCATCGTTATTTTCTTCCGCTTCCTTTCCTCCAGCCTGCTCTCCCACGACGGAAGTAATCAATTAACAGCGCTTTCATGCAAACAAACGGGATTCGACACAAAACAAACGCGTAGATAAGCTTCTGATTTTCCGATTACGATGAATAAGAACCCGCGTTTTCCATCGACGTAGTTTGCGGGAGCGCGATATGAACCTTTGCTCTATTTGTTTGAGAGAGTGCTAATTAATGTTGCCATATCCGCGCGGAGTTTCCATGTTGAATTATAATTTCGCGTTCCAAATAAAACGCCTTCTGAGAACTTCAGCATCTTAGCACGGGATGGAGGATGTACGCGATAATGTTATTTGATGAAACGATTTCCATTGCTATTTGATTTAATAAAATATTACTACTTGATTTAATCAAATATTATGCGCGTGAGCGAATAGGTTAAAAGTCAGAACTCCATATAGACTTGATCAAATCACGTCGAAATATCATTGTGCATCTATCAATTTATCACGTAAATAATTACAGTCATCGGCCCACGCTCAACTTCGGAAAAATATTATTTCTACGCATCCTCGCTCGCATCTGTCCTGAGTTTCTCTCTGGATCTCATGTTATCGTTATAGGTATCGAGACACTTATTCGTTAAATAATAAATAGACGGTATCGTTATATTATTAATAAAGAATCGATCTACTCACTCTTATTGGAGTCTATTATTTAGTTGTATACTGGCGTATACTCGTCGTCTACTCTTAAGCTCCCTAAAAAAAATTCTATTGCATAGGCTCGAAACGAACAGATGACACGACTTGACTGGCGCATCTGATTATTGATGCAATCGAACGCATACCACATGGTAGATACAAAGAAACGTTTCATCGTTGCATCAGCGTTGAATTACATTTCATACGATCGCACTTCCGCTTCTTGTCACGTAATTATTTCAAGCTTGCGATGTGACTTACCGATGCAAAGTTACAATACAAATTTATGAATGATTACGATTCCAGTATGAGACATAATTCGAGTGTCAAATCGCGTAACGCGAGAGAAAGAGAGGAGATGAGCTATAAAATCGCGGAGATCAAAGTGAAAGTTTATTTCATACAATTGCTTTCTTTTATCGTCTGGTCTTTAAAACTGTTCGAAAGATGTCTTATAAAAAAAATTAAAATTCGTTTTTGCAAATCATAATCATATTTCTGTGCATTTAAGCCTACGAAATTATTATTCTGCTGGATATAAGGACAGCTACTACTAGACGACAACGTGCTCACTGAAATAGCTCCAGACTCAGAGTCTTATCAAATTGTCGCGTATTAGTCCACATTATGTTGTTACGGCCTACTCGCCAAGTTTGTTCGAATTGAAACACCCGTACTTACAACGCAGTAAAAGCGGAAACTGGAGCACCAAGTGTTCTTTCTGAAGAGTTTCATGAAAATATTATAAACCATAAGCAAATCGAGAACTTCGCATCCACAGAGAACGACCGTGGAAATGCCGAAGCAACAGTGTCCGTATCCACGAGATCATTGATTACGAGAAGTTCATTCCGATGAGTCAGACGAACTAAAAGTCACTCGCGCATATTATGATAATTATATTTGTATCGTTCAAAAATTATGTAAAATGTAACTGATGTAAATTTAACAAGTAATATAAATCATTAATATTAAAACCAAAACCTTATTTTCACATTATACATAATATTCAGTATATATATTAAAAGTGATATCTGTCGCGTTGGCATTCGCGAATTATTGACTTGCTCGTAATTTCTCAAGCATCAAAGCGACCGCAAATGCCAACGCGATAAATATAAATTATTTCTAAATTGAAGTAGAAAGGTCGATACTCGAATATGCGCAAGTAAAGAAGCAACGGACCAATCGAGAGCCAAACATGATAAAAATGTGCATATTATTTTTATCAAATCGATCGTCGATGATCGAAAATCCAACAAATTATTTTTATTTACTAAATATTTGCACAATACACATATAAATATAAATTATATATATATATATATATAATATATATTTGTATTTATATGAAAATATGTAACATGTGTGGCATAATTTATATATTTATAGCATACGCGCGAATGAATTCACTCGCGATTGCGATTACATTGAGGTGTCCGATGCCAAATGCCAATTTACGAGCTGGTCGCTAGTGCCAGGCTGCTTTTTAGATGCAGGACGGAATCTGTATTACAGTTAAATCGCTCGTAGCCGCGCCGGGAGTATTTAGCATGGCAATGCGGCAGAGTGAGAGATATATATATATATACGTACGACGGCCAATTCTACCGGGAATCTAAATCTCGGCAACGGCGCCCACATGAACTGGCCTGAGAATCGTATACCCGCATTCCGGGACGCAAATGGATAGATTGACAGTCTGATTGAGTGTCAGAGAGTCTCCCGTGTTTACGTATGCACGCGCTCGCAGTTACGTTTCTACATGAGCTTTGTGTACTAACACAGGTCACAACCCAGTCATCGCGAATGAATATTTATGTAACGTTAATTATTGATTTGCATAATCAAGGATCCCACCGGCTTTATCCTTTCATCGCCTAATTTATAATATCTGTGTGAATTAATTTATTTTATATTACGCGCGAATTGTAATAAGGAAGATAATAAATTATATTCGCGGGCAAATAATTGCAGTTTATCATTTAAAATTAATTAAATTATAGTTTTGTGATAATTTTTTCTGTAATATTATCTGTTTCGAAATATTTTCGTAAAATTCTTACCGCTAATATATAAATTAGACGCTGATAGCACACCGTTATTACAGGTGGAAAAAATGTTGGTGCTGTCCTCTCTACAGCATTGTCTCTCGACAGCATCGTAAATGCCCGTTCACAATGTCGGCAAAACAGAATTTCACTGGTCGACATCGCAGTAAACTGCATGTTACAGGGATCTACCACATCCGCGATCGTAAAAGTTAGAACGTTATCTTGTGTAAACAAAATGTATGGCAAACAATAAAGGAGAAATCATTTTTCTTTGCTGTTGAACTTTGTGCTGTTGACAAATTAGCGTGTCTAAAAATTATTTAAAAAATTTCTAAGAAGCAAAACATCTTATTTAGAATCTAAGAAATTATTTTCTCATACACACGGTACACGTGCAGGCTCAATCAAATCATTCAACTTAAAAAAAAAAAACTAGATCATAAATGTACGCTGTTTACTTTCGATGTAAATAGGCTTTTAGATCAGGCGGATACCTTTAATGTTAAATACGAGCTTTTGTCTTACGCACCGAAGCGATCTTAAGCGGTTTAACAACCGGAAACTCGGAGTAATCGTTTATTATATCGTTTGTTAGTTAATTAGTGCGTTAGCTGCGCTTCGTAAAGTCCTCGAGGAACGTTGTGCGTCGATCAGACCGATTCTCACATGTAGCCGTAATAATCTTGTTCGATCGCTCGCAGGGAAACTTGGCGAAAATATGAGAAATATACTGTATCGTCCGTCCAATGATTCTCAACTAGGTCGCCCGAGGATGTCACGAACATCTCATCTCGGAGATGCTGTATCGAAAGACCGTTAAACACGGATACGCTGCATATATCGTTCATTACAGCTACATTTCTCTCTTTGCGTCATCTCACTCGTATACTTATCACCGCGAAGAAAGAGCTAACTTTTATCGAAAATTAGAGACTGCAGAATTTTAGCTATGGTTTGCATAGAGCACTGATGCAAACCGGAATCCGCTTGTTTGTTCGCGGCGTTATCTTCCAGACGTAAGAGTAATGCCATGTGTCCAGATCCGGTTTGCACCGAAGTGCATTCGACCACCATCTGCGTTGACAAAAAGAAATTTCATTTCGGAGAAGAGTAAGAGAGAGACGCACGTGGAAGCGCACAACCGGGTGTATCCGACAGAAAATTTCGGAGCTGCAAATTTCACACTCTCTCCTCTTTCTCTCTGCGCGCGACATATATACGATATCGTTCTAATCTGTTCCATCGCTGTTAATATCTTTCAACAGCGACGATAAACAATTCCGCTGTTCGTAGAGCCGTGCCGGAACGATGGCACCGTTACAATTAGCGTTCGCAACGAGCAATTTCAAGAACAGCGCCTGCAGGACAGGAGAGTCCGGTGCTTATCGCAAGCTCCGATCGGACAGCGAACTCCGCCGACAAGGCGAAGATGAAGGCAAGATAAATTTCGCTTAATGAAATATCATTAAATCACATGACCGGGCCGTCGTTAAAAGCGCTATCTCGAAAACTTTTTACGGGCACGAATAAAAACGCGAAAGTTGTCGGGGAAAATAAAATTTATAGCAATACGCGCGCGGATGCAACCTTTCGGCTTTTTTGCTGGATAACGTTCGCCGCAACATCATATTGCGTATATGCAAGAGGAAAAAAAAAAGATAAGCTGTCGTGCAAATTTATTCGACTCGTTCCAGGCGGTATCACCTCTCGCGAGATGACATCGATGATATCGCCAATAACGAAAGTGAAATACTTTACGAAATATCTTGCTAAAATAACTTTTAATTCTTCCGCGTCATGTCATAAATCTAAAATAATGTTTCCATGACGTAATAATGTTTTGTTTTTTAAAGAGCGTCTAAATATATGTACGTACTTGTTTCGAAAATTTTTATCCCTACGTTTTTAATAAATATATACCTCTCTTAATTATTTTCTCATATAGTGATCTAAAATTATTCTATGCCAGAAAGATACAGGAAAATTAGTTAGACGAATTTTGATTCCCAAAATATAATTATTCTTCCTAAATATAATTATCGAATAATTTTATAAAAATGTACATCCTTGAAAACAGAAATTTCCGCACGAATAATTGCATTTCACTATTATTGAATAACTTTGCTGATTTGAATAAGTTTCGAGTGCCGAAAGCAAATGTGCCGGAACGCGAAGCTGAGGCACAAAGGCGACTTCTGTCCGATAGAAGAAACGTCACATGTCGTACACGAGAGTGGGCTACGAGATGGCTCAAATGGCCCGTATTTCAATAATGATAAATCACCCGGATTCGATACAACGACAGACGGGCCGGACTTGAAGAGATCACCGTGAGATATCGCCGTCAGGGGTCTCGCTATCTCGTAACTTTTATCTTATAGATAGCCCTGTCCTCTACCTCCGAGGCCCTACAAGACGGTTCAAGAGTGTCTCTTACTGCCATACGAATATGTACTCTCCTCACGAAAATCATATCTTTTTTATCGTTATATGCGCGTTCTTCCTACTCGTCACGAATTAAAATTCATAAAATGCGCGGAACAAAAATGTAAATTGCAGAATGTGGGTTCTAAGACACCAAGATACTTTTCGAAAACATCGATACACGAATTTACATTCCTGCGCGTGACGAGACCTGGTTTTTTTTTATCCGTGCACTTCTTGCAGTGTCATTTGTAATAATTTTCCTATCGTTATTCGCGCTCGATCAACGCCGGAGGACTCCTCCTTCATCCTCTATCGGTCTGCCTGCCCTATACGTGCTTCCAACATTGCGGTCGTGTCCAGATGCGTGGAGCATAAAGAAATCATGCGAAGATAATTCCTACACGGAGATATTATGTTGTGATATAAGTTCGAGTGCCGAAGTATTACTCACTGCTGACGACGAGCAACAAAGTGTGTGTGATATATATATATATATATATATATATATATGTGTGTGTACATTCACGGTTCCCGCATGCACGAAAGCAATGAATACGGGATGCGGGATCAATTCAAACGACAGATTAAATGCACTCAAGATCGGGATCGTAAGAGGGAAGGGAAGGATTCGATCGCGCAGCGATCGAGAACCTGATCCGAAGACGTGCATAGAATACTCGAATATTTCTAGTCGCTTTGTCACAAGAATCTTGAAAATTGTGAACAAAAAAAGCAGCGAAAATAAAAAAATAACAGAATTATTTTTAATAAGACGAAAAAAATTTGATATATAAATAGCAAAAATTCAGAATTAAAAAATAGGCTAACAATAGCTGCATCTGTTAATCGAAAATTTTAAAACAAATTTGTTACGATCGAATTTTTATGCCTACCCTCTCGTTAGCTCGTTTCCTACCAGCACTTTGTAAAATTATTTACGTTCTCGCGATAAAATCGAGAATTATAGTTATTCGACAGAAATGTTGGCAAAACAAAAAAAAATATAAAATTCAATGATCCTCGCGATGTGTATCGAGCACAATGGACTCGTATTATTCTCTTTTTAACAATTATTTGCCCAGCGACCGGTTCGTTCTATTTCCTACGCGATGTTACACGGTTATTTCCTCCCTGCACCTTGCATCGGGCAAATAAAGTTTCCGACATACGGCAGCCGCATACCTGATGATGCGTTCTTTTCTCCTCGTCTTGCAGTCATCTCCACTTCTGTCGCCGGGTCTTTCGCGCATCATCGTGAATCGCCTAACCGCATCAGTTCTACATCTCGCGTACGCGATACGTAATTTACCGGTCGACGAAAGTGCGCGAGAAAAATCGAAGAAATTATAGGAGAATTTTTTTCTCAACGCGCGATGTTATATATTACAGAAAACTAGTTATAGAAAATTTCTCGTTTTTATCTTCGTTTTGATCTCGCTTCGAATCAGCTGTATCTGTTTCCCTCTCTCTCTTGCGACTTCTAACGCTTCGATTATATTGTATATTTTGCTGTATTATATATACCTCGACATTCGCGCATTTACACAAGTCGAAAGACGAGTATCGCAACGTTTATACGCCGTTTCCCTCTTTCCAGGGAACGTCAGCGTGTCATTACGCCATACAGTTTATGTAATTCTATGAAATCTCTTCACGGTCGCGTCCGCGCGCGGGTCGCTCATTTCGTCGATTTGCACGAAATCATATAAATTTAACGTCACATTCTCCGGTCGTGTATAAACATCACCGGTAATTTTCCGTCCGCGGAGACGGCGGCGGTAATCTGCATGTCTTTCATCGTATTCCAACGCTAACGAAAATACGTACGTCTGTGTTGCGAGCGGATGTGTAGGTTACGCGACCCTGACCTAGGACGTCTCGATTTTCTAGAGCTAAAAAAAAAACGAAGAGACGAGTCGTGCGGTCTCTCTGAAATATATATTAACATTTCTCTCGACGGAGAAAATCTTTCTTGCCGAATTATCGTGGTATCGATTTATGGGAGAATTTTTCTCGCGCGGAATTGCGAAAGTGCGAAAATAAGAGAACTGCAGACACACGATGCGTTAAACGACTTGGCGTGATCCGGAGTGTCGTACAGACGTATCCGACTCGCGGGACGGGAGTTGTATTCGGCCTTCCGGCGCAATTAATACGTCGCCTCGATAATCCGCGTTCATCGATATTCAGAAACATTGCGGCGACGCTGGCGGGCGAGTTACATATTCAGGCGTAATGCACGGATAAGTTGAAACAGCACGAACGGACGAATATCTGCGCGGATGCCAACCGCCGTATTTACATCCAGGATGAAACCTATCGGCCGGGGAACGTGCTGTTCTGAAAACGTACGTTGAGAGAAGGGAAACGTGAGAGGATCTGGAGGTTTCTGCGTTGGATAAATCGACGAAATAAAAATCCAGTCTAAATCGCGTATCCACTAATAGAACAGATAGTGTAGAAGGATAGAAATATATATATACTTCCTCCCTTCGACGTGCCGCGTTCTAAAAATACCGAACGGATACATTCGATACATTCGGCAGAGGCTGTCCAATTCCAACAGTAGAAACGCACACGTGCTTCCACTTATCCATACGGTCGTAAATCAGCTGATTTGCTGTGCGTGTGGATCGTGACCCGGAAAGCGTGCGAACCCGAGTTAAAACACGCCGTTGATTCGGCCTTACGCGATCAATTCGATTGTCCGAATGAAGATTGTAAAGTCTAATAGATCCGGGATCTCATTTTTAATTTATGATACGTACACTTATTACGGGTGCATTTCCGAGCGAAAATTGGAAGAAGCTTTGACCATGCGTACTCTCATGTAATTTACATAACGATTTTATCGCTAAACTATTTTCCATCTCGCGCTACTTAAATTATATGCTTTACTTTCCTGCAACAAAAATTGCGTGGCTTCATCGTATATTTGTTCGCGTACGATCGAACGCGATTCTCTCTATTCGAACGAGTCAAAGGATCGATACTAAGGCTGCAAATGATCCTTATTACGGTTCCATTCGTAGGATGTACTTCACTATCGATTACCATACGCACAGAAGCGTGCGGAAGCGGTTATATATACTGGTGAAGCTGAACAGGATATATGACGCATATTTCAGGACAAGGTATTCGCATTTCGTGCCATCGAGCTCAATTAAACTAGAAACTAACAGAATTGCGACCTCGTAGAATTACGGGTCTAACGTATATATCGCACGACAATCTAGTTCGCAGCGCACACTATGATTTTAATTCCACACTCCGTTTTTTGCCCGACGCATATGACGTATATTATGTTCGAAACACTCCCGATTATTCGCCTTTACCGATTATTATTAATCACGTGATCGTATCGAGGATAAATGCGAGCGCCGTTTTTACTACATTCATCTATTCCACCTGTCACGTGTAATACGCTCGATGCGGATTCTTATCCAACGCTCGTTGATCAATGTAATCTCCTTTCACGCGAGATAAGAGCTTGATCGAATTTACTAAGCCGTTTATCGCGCGACATCGCGATATTAGATTTCATAAATTCCTATATACCTCGATTCTGTCTCGAGATTTTAATATCCGTAATGCTCGTACATTGAATAAGATAATATTAAATATTGCGAAACAGAAAAATGGCTTTCCATCAGTTAATCAGACTCCGAGAAATTCTTTTAAAAATTGCAATACAGCTGACAAATAACAGTTGTCTGTCACATTTGCAGCGTAATAAATGCCATATGTTAATGGAACAGAAATCATGTCGTGAATCTTATCTTTTAAGATCGTACAAATTAATTTAATGAATTTAATAAATATAATATTTTTAAATATATACAATAATTTAAATCTAATTAATTTATTTAATTTAAAGAAACACAAGACGAATAAGACGATACTTTACAAATCCGTAGCTCGGCATTAAATTTATGTTGCTCGTCTTTTTCCAGCCGATTCCGCAATCTGTCTCTATCGAATCATTTGCTACCGATCGCACAAACGGCCGTAAAGCGGAATCCTAACAGAGGCGTTAGAATCGACGGAGCGACCGACGCGGAACGGGTTAAAGGCGAGTTAATAGCGAGTCGTCGGCGAAGAAATGTCGACAGGCTAACCGGACAGTCTCTTTCTCTCTCCGACTTTTCCGGCGATCCGCCACGAACACTTTTTCTTCGACGTTTATCTTGACGCGATCGCGGAGTCGTGGCGCACGCCGGGGTGAAAGTTGCTCACCGCGGAATAAACATCGCGAATAACGATAAAACCACGCGAGTCGGCCAATAATTCCATTCGCGCAAATTGCCGCATCGCTTATTTGATTTCTTTCAGAAATCAGAATACTCCGCGATATACTCAAATCAAAATGTTTTCCCTATCTTAATTACATAATCTAACATTTCTTGCTACTCTCTCTTGAACACTAGTTAATCTAGTTTTATCGAAAATCTCTTTTAAATCTCGAAATGGCCAACTAATCAACTATACTTATCTAAGATATTAAATAGAATTATTAAAAAATATAAATGTGAAAACATTGAGGTTGAAAAGCAAAATTTCGATTTCGATAATTATAAATTATATATACCATAATTTTTACTATATTATATGATTAGCCATGAATTATAATTCTATTAAAATAATTTTCGATATTACAGCATATTATATTTTGTTAAAAAAAATTCTAAATTATAAACGTACAATATACTCATTTGTAAACAAAATTTTATTTACATGAATATATATTATTCGTATAATTTAGAATCAATTTTTCCAACCCAAATTATATAGTGTGTATATAATATATATATATGAGAGTGCATTTGAAGAAACTATATATATGCCCGTATATGTACCTACATATGAATCGACCAGGGGGAACGGCGACCCCGTCCGGCGCGATCCTTTGTCAAAGTCCCTTAATCATAGCCTCATTTCTCAAACGGAATCTCCCGCGGATCTCCACGCATGGAGTATACGCGGTGTGACGAACGACTCAATTATTGTCCGGTGCGCCCCTCAGAGGGAGGAGGAGAGAACTCACTTACCTCTTCTACGAGAGATCTCTGCATATTGGTCCAGCATAGTTTGCACGGGCACACGTCCTTACTCGCGTCCTTCGGGTTCTCATTCCGTTCGCGGTCGTTCCGCGCGTTGCCGGCGGCGGCCTGCGGCGGCGGCGGCGGCACCGGTGGTGGCAGCGGACTCGCGGCCACTTCGAGGCTGTCTGAACTCGAGTTGTGGCGTCGCGGCGGCGTGATGTTACTGCCGACGTTCGCCTGCTGGCAGGTCGCCTGTCTGACCTCGCACAACCTGCCGTGCTCGACGTGCATGCCGCACGGCATTTGTTGGCCGCATCTAACGGCCAGCGATGGAGACACAAATACACTCGCCGTGCACCTGCTTGGCTGCTGCGGCTGCGGCCGCAGAAAGTCATCCAGCAGATAAAAGCTCTGCGCGCGATTCGATCTGTTGGTGGTGGTCGCGGTGCGAGTCTCGACGGCACTCTGTTCCGTGGCTCTGCAGAACTCGCGACCGTCTCGATTGTTCCTGCATTGTTCCGACTCGTCCAGCTGATGTCGATTACGTGGCGCGGGATGTCTCTCGTCGAGATCTCGATCGACCGCCGGCTCGTTGTCCTGGTACAACCTGCGACTGACCTTCGATCTGCCGGCGACCTGACCGAACTCTCCGTTTTCTCGATAGACATCTCTACTGACTCGGGAGACTCGCGCCGAGTAGGAAGTCGGTTGATGATAGCGTCCCTTGCAGCTCGAACCGCGCGATTCTTCGCGAAAGTGCTCGCCCTCGATCATGGACGCGCTCATATTTTGCGACAAGGAGTTCTGGCTAGCGTGGGAACTCCCGCCAGTGCTGTTGGCGGGAGTCCTTAAAAGTGCACCGAGGGACCGCCACTTCCGGTCCTGTTGATTCGTCGATGTAGACGAGACCGAGGATCTGTTCCACTTCCTCTCGTTCGATGGTGATGTCAGCAGACTGTTACTTACGGACCACTTCCGCTCGTTCGTGGGCGACGTCATCGAGGACGGCCACTTTCTCTCGTTCGAGGGCGATGCCATCGAGGCGTTGGACCAGTGGCGCACCGATGACGCGATAGGAACGGCACCGCTGCCGGTGCTTTTCTCCCGTTCTCCCGCAAATTGTTCCTCCCGTTGTCGGGCCTTCCACCAAGACGACGTCGAAGTGAAGAGAATTAACGCGCCCTTCAAAGGATTCTGGTTCTTGGCAGTTCCCTTCGGCGAAAGATCGCGATCTTTGACCTTCAGCGAGCACTCTCGAAAATTCGAGTCGCACTCACGATCGCTAAAAGCGGCGGCGTCCCGTTGCTCCCTCAGAGCGTTCTTCGCCGCCGCCACTTCCTCCTCGTGGTACAGGGTCGCGTTTGTGCTACGCAGCCGCGGTCGGATCCTCACAAAGCCGTAATCGTTACCGTCTTGAACGATGGGATCGAAGGACTCGCGGGACTGTTGCTGCCGAGGATGATGAAGACTGTTGGCGCAAAGTAACGAGCACTGCGTCGCCGCCGTCTGACCGCCGTACTGATGATGACCGTTGCTCAGCTGTAGACTCGGTTGTTGAAGAAGCGTCGAGGTCCTCGCGCGATGGCCCTCGCCAGCGGTGCCGCGTTGCAAGCACGAGAAGCTCGCCGAGTGCCGCAAGCTCGAGGGCGTATTGCCCGGCTGACTCACGCCCAACATGTCGCCACCTTTTATTTTCAGTCTTTGATTTCTCGCGCAAGAAGGCGGATGTGTATAGATATTAATGTGTACGTGTGTGTACAACGAGAGGGTAGGGCTGATACAAAAGGGGCAGGGCAGGTGGAGAGGCAGTTAGCGAGAAGCGAAGAGAGCTAAGATCGACGAAGGAGAAACGGTATAAAGCGGACGGAGAAGCGATCTCAGCTCGTCATTACTCCTGGCAGTGTTTTTATCAGTCTCGGCGATAACATCCGGAAGAGAGGATCTCTCTTCTTCCCTCCTTTTCTTCTAGGCTAACCTGCTCTTGCCTCGGTCGATTCCTCTTCCCTGTATCGCGCGCGTCATCATCATTCCGACTCGAGACTCGTGGTTCTTTCTCTTTCTCTCTCTCTCTCTCTCTGTCTTTTCTCTATCTCTTTTTGTCGTCGAAAAGCCACCCTGCCACGGGCTACATCCTTGTCGCTACAAAGTGTCTCTTTTTCTCTTTCTCTCATGCACCGTATGCGACGCCTATGCTTCGTACGAGATCTGTAACAGAAAGTAGGAACAGGGTAGGGAACAGCAAACTCAAAAAAAATGGCTGCGATCAAATGAAACAGTAGTGGCGCGTTCGTGAAAAAATCAAAGTACTCGATGAAGTGAACGGGGAAGGCACAATTTGTGCCGCACAAGGAAGAAGCGGTGATTTCGCATCATGAATCGCGCGAGATGAACGAGACGATTCTCGAGATTAGCTGTCGAAACTCTCCGGACGAGCTATGATCCACGGAGGGAGATCGGTGAAGGATGAAGGTCGTTCTGCGGCCAGCGTGCTCGAGACGGGGTATCAGTATATACGTCTACCCAAGTCTTTTCCATGAAAGTTCGCCGAGTTTCTACGACAATGAACGAGGTGAAACGCGCGGGTTCGCTAGATTCTTTTCTCGGAAGTATGAGTGGAATTCTGAGCAAGAATTAATTCGCGCTAAAATGAGAAAAGATTCTTCTTGATATTAATATAAAAGAGAATATCAAAATCAAATATATAAAATTGACAAAACAAATTTCCGATTTAAAATTTAAATTGTAAGTTTCGAATGTTTCCTAAAAAATATTTAAATAAGCAGATATATAAAGATATGCAAACTTTTTTTCGAAAGATTGTTTTCAATCTACTTATAACTCGGAATAATTTACATATTACGTTTGATTCATTATCTTGCAAGCATAAGTATATTGCAAACACACATGGTGGATTAAAATATAATGTTACGAAACTAAATGTAAATAAAGATGAATAAAAGTGAACAAAATTGGAGCGTATCGTTCGGATATAAATAAAATGCACGAATGTTATTATTTGATTACACACAGTTTACAAAACCGAATTGTGCGCTGTTGAAATTGCAACACAGTGAAAATATGAATATAACAGAGTTTTCGCGGAAATGTTCGTATATGTCGCGCTAATGAAATGTAAAAATGATTAATGACACACTGCAACTTTTGATGCAATAAATAAAAGCCAATGATGTACCGGCATGCTCCTCGATAATACATAATCAATGCAATTTATTAAAAAGAAGCTCTGGGAAAACAGAAACCGAGAATTACGAAATTATTTCGTCGACGAGGATAAAGGAATAAAAGGATATATTTCAAAAAATTTAGGACATTACGCATCTTTTCTTTCAAGTCTATAATATTGGCGTAATTATTTCCTAATTAGCGCATATAATCTAGACCGTTATTAAGAAACGTGATTAATATACATAAGGGACGCGTCTGATTAAAAAGATCCGCTATACAAAGCGGCAAATCGTGCTATTCTTAAAGATTTTGTCTAAAGATAAAGAGGATGCACATAGTGCGAAACTTTGGTACTTTGTCAAGTCGGCATATTTTCAAAATTATCAAAGAATATCAGGAAAATGCAGAGTGGAGGACTGCACTTTATCATGATACTTTTGGGTCAAAATCGAGGGTTAATTAAGACTCTTTTCTCCTTTTCTCTCTCTCTCTCTCGCAAATAAAGCTGCATCAGTTTTGTTAATACATGCAACGTCGTGTCGTCACACGAGATATCCCAAGAAAACGAGAACGCTCGACTCGCTCGTGTCAGTTTGAAGCAATCCGCATAATTATGCCGTGTCGCAAGGCATCCGGTGATTCCGCGACACCCCGTAGATACGAGAGATCGACGCGATCGGAATTCGCTCGCTCGCACTAAGCTCCAATATGAAACGGGTTACACCGCTCCCCAGGATTTCTCTGACTTTATAGGAACGGCACGCAGGGCAACCCGTCTACTGCGCGTCTGTATGCACGTGTGTACGTACAATACGTAGGTTCGCGCAAGACGGTGAAAGGTTTTTCAAGGCGGGAAAGCAGCAAGTGACACCCACACACGGCGAACGAACTGACGCACGGCGATGCGAAAAGGCAAGGCCGCGTACGCGCGGATAAAAGTTCGCGCGCGCTCTTGCGAAATATTCCGCGCGAGCAGGCGCGGACGCCTGTCGCAACAATAATAACACGTAATGGAATAGCCGCGAATCGCGCGCAATTAGATATCGAACATTTGTGCCGGCCGATCGCTCGCAATTACACGCTCGTTCTTTTTCTATGCGCCATCGAAACCCTCTCTCTTCGTCCTTGAGAGCGATATTTCTCGGGCGTATATCTCGTCGCAATTTTCCGGGATTTTCTCGAGAGAAGGCGTGACATAATCCACGTCAAATTTCGCGTGTCGCAATCTCGCCGTACGTAATAAACTTTCATCTTTATTCGCGTAAATGAGAGACCTCGATTCCACGCGCCGAACTGATACGCAATATTTATAATACGCCGTTACATTCTTGGATACTCGAACGCGTGTAAGTTCCATGTTTACGTGACGCACCAACTATCAACTATAAGAGCGCGTGTGTTTAAGTTAAGCCAAGTTTTACGGCCAACGCGCCTTCGCGGATGCAAAACGGTTCGCGCTGCTCTCGTTGCAAACGCGCGAACACGAAAGCGTCAGTCAATTAGCTCGACGATTTGACCGTGTCGTTTTTAAGCGGACGATACGCATCATCCTAGAAAATCGCGGATCTCATAGCATTCAGGGCATAAAGTCGACAGTCATTGCGCGCGGGATGAATCCAATCAGAGTAAGAACAAATGAATGTGTCTGCGCGTACAACAAAGAGTTTTCTCTTAGAATTTGCTCTGAAAATTATGGTAATCGTGGGACAATATGGTATTGGAAGAAGTTTATGAGTTTCTCTAATTAATCTTTACCACGATCAAAAATATTAATATCTACCACAATAAGATATAAAATATATTCGATTAATTTTACTATTCAGAGAAACTCTTATAAAATCTTTCTTCCAATGCCATATTACCATATTACGATTATACCATGATTTTCAGGGTAAATTCTAAGAGAAAATTCTTTCTGTGTATATGTATATAAACGTGAATTTCTTGAATCTACATCAAATGTGTTACGAGATTATAATTTTCTAAAAATTCTATCCAGATTATGTCCGCATAAGTACTTCACGTTTAAAAAATTCTCGAGTCGAAATTTTTTCTTATTTTAAATTTTAATTTTCAGCCGAATATGTCTATTTAGATATTTTAAATCAGATTATAATTTTTTGAAACTACATGCTCGACTTATAATTTTGCCGGAAGCTTTATTTTAAATCTCTAAGTGAAACTGTTCTTTACTGTCTATATATATATACACTTGAGGTATAAAATGGAAAAGCTGAATTCCTACATAAATTAAATCTATCAAAATCTTTTAGAATAAATTTGAGAAAATTGAAATTGAAAATGGAAATAAAATTTCGATTCTCAGAGGTTTCTCCTTTGAGAGACGATATATATATATAATCGTCCATCAATTTTCGCTTAGAAGGATTCGATATCAAATCCGTCGAGAAAAGTCGCGATTGAGGTCTTTCGTTCGGCGCTGAGAGACATACAATATATATGTCCGCATATATATCAGCTGATCATCGTGTATAGGGGAAAACTCTCACCTCGCATTGTTCGCGCGCACGCGTCGTCGAACGCGATGAATTCGCGCGTGACGCGATGCCGCGCGAGAGAGAACGCAGAAAACGTGTAAAAATAATGTGCCGCGCACATTTGCGCTCTGGATATCGCGGAGTCAACGGCGTAATTGGCCGGAATCTTCGGCCGTAACTAATTACGGGCCCGGCATATAATAAGCGCGCTCGGGCGGCGCCGCGACTCTTGCACCAAGATTCGTTGCGAAAGAAATTTGAAAGCTCTTCCTCCTCGGGCTCTTCGTCCCCGAGAGAGGCTCCGATTAATTTTGAAAGCCGACGGAATTGCGCGTTCGCGGACAGGAAAACGCAACACAACGTATACACGGTTTCGCTGGAGATCCATCATGATTTTTGTTGCCCAATTCCACTTTCGCGAGCGAATCGTGTCGACGTGTCGTAAAAATAAAAATAACATACAACGCAGTGTATGTATAAGACAAATTCAATTAGACAAGAAGTTTAAAGTCAGAGATGCGAAGGGAAATTAAATAGATGGTTACTTATCTCAATCCAAGCTCAGTCCGATGCGTCTTTAGAATATTCTTGCAGCGGAGAAAGGATTAAAGCTGTGCAAGTGATTAGTCATGATGTAACAACGCGCTATTAAAATGCATGTTCACTCCGTTACTTTTTTCGCGCGTAATTAAGACAGGATTATTTATCGATGAGTCAGTAGCTTCTAGTGGTTGGATAACATGCAGGGAGAGCCAGAGAGAGAGAGAGAGGAAATTTCTCTCGGTCGTGCGATAACATGCTCGGATTTAATCTCTAGCTCTCCCTGTCCTCAAATCCCAGGGTTTTCCGACTTACGACAGATTTGACATCATCATCGACGTCCACGCTTGCATTGTGAATCCACCTAGGATTGCGCAATCGGATAATTTCGTAGTACGATTTATTGACCGGACGAGATTTCCGCGCGGGAGCAAGCTGCAATCGCAAGATTACACACGTGTATACGTGAACGTGCTAAAGCCGCGTTTGTCAATTCCGAACGCCGTGTTATGACATGTCAATTTCGCGCACGCGCGAAAATTTTGTTTCCCCCGTGTGCCGATACATAATCACGATATATGCTTGACTCATTCTTTTTCGTTGCACAAGGTTCGAGATTTCGTCATACTTCTGTAACTTCTATAAAAATTGCGCCAGTTCCCTGCTATTTGTCAATGAAACACATTCGTTATTATTTCCCAAAATTTAATACGTGCATTATTATCATAAATGAAAGTTTCGTCAAAGATGTCGCGGTCTTGACTTGTAACTATATTCGGAAACGTGGCTTCTCACTATCCGTAACGATTCCAATCTCCTGCTGATTAATTAGAAACATAAAAATGTCTTGGCACTCGGTTTGATGCAAATTAAGAACGATATAAAAACGTCGTATATATCCTGAATATATCTTCCAGACAGTACACGCGAGTTTCTCATTTATAGCAATGATATTGAAAAGGAGGGTCCACTTTGACGATCCATCGAACGGTCGTTAAGAAATACGAAACCGCGTTCTATCGAGAGATACTGACAGGCATATAAAATATAGCAATAAACGTCCGCCCGAATATGGGCTCGATAAGCGGAAGCGCGTCGGCGAAACTTCGAAGGGCACGAATGAAGGGAAGACGAAGAAGGTCATATATACATATATATATATAAAATATCGAAGCTTGTCTCGATCTTCAAGCCGTAGGATCTGACAAAGTCGATCATTTCTTTCATCTGTCAAGTTTCTCCAGTATAAATTTATCATGTTTCGAGTGCGCGACCTCTGGCATCTCCAGGAAGATGAACACATAAAACTTAATTCTAGAATTTTGCTGTAGCGTATACCTTGAAATATACGATGACTCGTCGAGTCCATGAATCATTTATCCTCGAATTTTGTTCAATACGTGTTCCTATCATTTATTTCACAGACTACAGTT